ATATCGTCAGAAGGCTAGGTGGTGGCTTAAGCGCTCTCAGAAGCGATAAAGTAGTAAATTGTGAATTGAAAAATAAATCACAATATATAGTTCTGACATTTTGTTTATTGTTAGCTTATAATGCAAATAGACTATCTGTAAAGTTACAGAAGTTAAAAGTGAGGCTAATAGTCAAAAAAACATTATTTATCACTGCGCGTGCAAATTTTGCCGTGGTTGTTACGCCCGGCGTTTTTGATCTTTTATTGTTAATAACTGATTAAGTACAGTTCTAGCATTTTACGTAGCCAATCTTTATATCATATATGTTTCTTATAAGGAAACAACAGAAGTTTACTTAGAGGTTAAGGCTATGCCACAGCTACATAAGTTTATGTGCAATCGAATAAATTGCTATATTTTTTTATTTGGTAATATTTGTTTTCACAATGGTTTTAAATTGGTATTTCTACCGAAATACGCACAGTGCATTTTACTCTGAATCGCAATCTGATGATTCGTCCTGAGTACCATCATCGCTGTTGTACTTTACATCTGTCATTTTTTTTTGTCATTGTAACTGCAATTGAAAACACACACTTTAACACTCGCCATTGTTGGTGGCTTAAAAATTTATCAATACACGAAAAATCTAATGCATAAGCAGTGAACGCTGTTAGAGGTGTGACTGGAGCGAAAATCAGAAGCGAGTTGACGCTTGGTTACTATTTTGAAAGCCATGCCAGAATAACGGTCTGACTACACAGGCCAACAAAAGAAATCCTGTGTTTTTGAGACGTGAACCTACCCTTCTTTAGTAAAATTTTCCACTGAATCCGAAAATGATAAAAAGAAAAATTTACGGACTCTCCCACACACCCTCAATTCCCCCCAAAAATTTAAACTGCCCATCCAACTTACCTTTAGTAAAATTCGCTAAATCCGAAAATTGCAAAAAAATTGTGTGGACGTGAGGGATCTCCCCTGGTCATCCGTATCTCTCACTTGTTTCTTTCAAAAATAAAAATAAATACAAATCAGACGTGGCAACNCTTATTTTCTTCACCGTAATATTGTAAGAGTTCAATTAAAAGCCTTTTTTTATCGAAAACCGTCCACATTAGGAAGTTCAAACAAGAGTACATTATTTTTAGAAAATAAAATAGTACATTAGAAATTGGACCCCGAATGGTAAAAACCTAACCTTAAAAAAATTAGAACCTAAAATATAATAGGAATGTAGCATAACTAGCGCCCTCTATAAAACATCCGAAAAATAATTAGACCAGCGTATTTGGCGTCCTTAAAAACCCCGGAATACCAAATTTCATAAAAATATTTCGCACCGTTTGGAAATTTTAGTAAAAATTCTATTTAAAAAATTGTATTTTGTCGCTCTGTATCTCGAAAACAAGAGAAGATAGACATATAGTTCATAAGACAAAACATTCTTATTTTTGTTGTACTATCACCTCCAGAATTTACGGGAGGTCTTTCTGAAACACACACTGTATATAAGAACTCTCGGGCTTTCAAACGCTTTTTGAAAAAATCGAGTCCGTCAATTAGGAGAGCTCTGGCGCTTGTTTAAACATTGAATTTTTGTACTATAATTTTGTATTTTTGTAATATAATGAGTTAATTCAATTTCGAGCAGGCCGAAGCGGCCGCGCTCTCTGCTTCCCACCACCACCACCATCGGTACGATTTTCTTTAATTTCTCGCTTGCATAAATAATTTTAAACGCGATTTAAAGTAGGTTGCAATGAAGAAAAGTATTGCAAACTTAGACCTGGTAAGTACTCGGAATACCAAAGGTATTTTTCGAAAAATTGGCCCGGATGTCCCGGTACATTTAGTGTAAATGACGGTTAACTTTGATCGGCTATAACTACGTAATTAATTGACCAATCGATCTGTTTTTTTTTTAAGAAGCGTGTTCCCAATAACTTTTAAAGCCTGCTTTAAAAAATTTGATTTAATTGAACATTCACAAAGTTATTCTAATTGTTTATAAGTACAACAATTCGACCAATATTTACACAAGCGCCAGAGCTCTCCTAACTGAGGGATTCGAATTTTTCAAAAAGCGTTTGAAAGCTTGAGAGCCCTTATATATGTGATTAAATTTTCAAGTATCTAAGGGCCTTGGTTTATGCTGTGCAAAATTTTGAAAATTTTTTTTCAAACTGTGGATTGCAAAATTATCATGCAAAATCTATAGAACCGATTTTGATGAAATTTGGTGTGATGATTCTACATAACATGAACTTTTCTTGAGCCAAGTATGAAGGTCCTATACCCAACTTAAAGACCCCAAAAAAATCCCTAAAATGTAATGTTTTTTATCCCCATTTTTGGCGATTTTTTCGATTTTTACAATAATAATCATGATTCATTCGATTTGTAACTAGTCACGTTTTGTAAAATTTAATTACAAACATTTTTTTCTTCTTCCATTTTCGTCTAAAATCAACTCTTGAAAAGATACACATTTAAATAGGAAGAAAAATATGACATTTTTCGAATTTTTTTAACATATTGTGCCGCCAAAAGTTAAGCCCACGTTTTTTTTTATGCGCATAGAAAAATTTTCATTTCTTGCGATATTTGAAAGCCAATAAGCCAAAAATCTCCGTGGATATACGATTCACCCAAACCAAAACAAATACTGCCTAGTCTACAATATATTGTCAAATTTTACAAAAATAAACATTTTTGCAATTCAAATCATTCTTAAAAAATTTGTACATTATCTGTAATATCGTTACCGCCACTTTTTATGGAAGGTACGTAACCTTTTTAATTTTTAAACAATTTTCAAAAACAACTAAATGTTACACATATAGTAAAAATTCTTTATATTCAAGGTTTATATGAACAATTTAAAATAATAGGTTTAATATAGGCAGAACAGTTTTCCAAACCAGTGATGGACAAGGACAATTTTATTAAAAAAAAAAACTCGACTGCAAAATGAGACTGCATTTGCAGTACCTAGTTATATATTGTGATCGTAGTAAATATTGTGGCAAAACTTCCAAACCTTTAAATATTAAAGTCGGAAAACATTGAGATGACTATGCGAAAAATGGAAAAATTATCATTGAAGTATTTTGTAACGAGTTTTGATAACGAAAATAGTTCTTCGAAATGTGTTGCAGTGATCGTTATTTATGTAGCCTGTAGTAGTTTTGTTTCTCAGTGTGACATATTTCTGGATAGGCAAAACTAAAATTTATAAAATCAGTCCGTCAACCGATAATTTTTTTGACGCAAGGGGTATGCAAGGCATTATTTATTATTTTTATTCCTTTCAGCATGACAGAAATACCTATAAATTAATTAAAAAGAGAAAATCCGATTTAATTTTGTTTTTGTTATTTATACTGTTATTTATCAATTTATAGTTTTATTTTGTATATGTTTTATATTATTTTTACATGAGCAAAATATTAAGTCATTTGGTTTGCACATGTCAACGGCAGTTTGTCAATGATGAATATTTCTGGGTCGGTTGCCATGTCGTCGGTTTGGACTTCTTGAATCCTAATTTCAGTTTCTTCTAAAAGCATTGAAATGTTTCAAAAACCGTCGACGTGGAAACTAATGTGGAAATTGTTCAGCTGTTGAGTTTCTTTTATTTACATTAAATAAATATTATTCAGAATTAGCCTCCAAATTTTTTAATAGAAATCCCGTTTTTTTTGTCAGTCATCCTCGTCATCCCTAAAAGTCACAAAGAACAGTTAAGAACACTACTTATATAAACTAATATTAACAAAAACAAAAAGCTTGACATTAAATTCGTGGAGCAAAATAATCTAAAGACAGCCAGTCAATCCATTTTGCTTTGAGGTTCCCCGCATGCGCAAATCATTTTTCATTTATTTTCATCTGTTTTACATAAAAAAGCTAACATCATCTATTAACATCAGTTCGATTCATGCAACCTCATGCAAAGTGGATTGGCTGCCTCTAAACTAAATGCTATTCTTTTTTTTTTTTGTTAAACTTCAGTCACTCAAAAAATGATAGGTATTTATTTATTTATTTATTTAGAAATTACAATATCCAACGGGACAAAGTCCCAATTATAGAATAAGGTAAAACAGAAAACCTTAACTAAATTTTAAAAGAAAAAGACAAACTAACATTAAATATAAAAATATAAATACTACATAACATAGAGCAATCAAAATATTGTGTGAACGACTGGACTGGAGTCAGTAGCTTCTAATCCTGCCCTGTTCTGCAAGGTACATTTGATCTAGGGTCCTAGTTAGTTACTTTTTTGGTGATCTCTTAAGCATTAAACACGAAGTTAAGAAGAAAACTGAATTTATTTACTGGACACCAAAGCAAGAGCAAACTATTTTTTAAAATGTAATCACTTGCTTTTAAAAATATCTATATATACAGAGGGATCCAAATTTTAATTGGAAAACTTCAGTAGGTTCTCTAATATAATTATTTTGTAGCTACGACTATTTTTGTTGTTACAACAACAGGATATTTTCACAAATAATAAGTTACAAGAACTATGTTCAAAAAATTTAAAGACATTAAATTATTTAATTAGGTACTTCTATTCATAAAGAAATATAATAGAAACATGTCAAACACGAGTAATAGCACCTAAAATGCATTCAATGTGACCAGTTACACAGGCCACTAAGGAACATCCTACAGGACCAGTTTGAAGAATGATTCAGTTCATAGTACACTTAGAACCAACAACAAGAACCGAATCAAAATCAGGTAGGGCCTGATATATTTCTGGTAATGGGACTAACTCCACAGAGCCTAGCCCAAGAACAAGCGCAGATCAAATATTCCTATCTAAGAGTAAGGAAGACCAATGTAAGTCTGTAACTGGCAGTGACCAGGTACAATGGTATAGTCTGAAAAACCATAGTACTTTAACTTATCAGCACATGGTGTGAAAACCATAAGACGACTATCAATTACAAAAAGGGAAAAATGTCAAAACATTAAATTTTTTATTAAGAAATATAACCTTTAAAAAAAAATAAACATTTATTTAGCATTTCCATAACAAAGGTAAGTTAAAAGTAATTAAAAATACATACATAAATACAAATACATACAGTCCTTGTTCATAATTCTGCTTTTATGACTAGAAAGAACTTCAATTGAATTAAGTTAAATAAACCAATTTTTAATAAAGAAATTTCAAAATTATATTTGCATTATTAATCCAGTTATTCCCACTACATGATCATAAGTTGTTAATTTCTGGGTAATTTAACCAAATTCAGTCCATATCCGAAACTTATTCTTCTATTTTATCTTCAAGTAGTATTCCATCTGTCTTGTCAAATCCATCAGTGAGCTCTTTGGTAGGACTATGCAGAATGTTAGGATTCTTTTTGTACAACTGTTGCATTTTCTGTAGAAGAAGCTTGTCACCATAGAAGAAGCCAGTGATGTCTATAAAAAGTTCTTCTGCCGACTCTATGTCAGGAATGTGCTTCTCAAAGAACTACAAAAAAATGGGAATAGTGTTTATTTGAGAAAATTAAACGCGAATAGTATTCGAAAACATGAGTTTTTTTGAGGTGACGCAACCTTTCGCAGTGCGCTACACGAGTGCTTATTGTAACTTGCGAGAACGCGTGCTATAATTACCTATTATAGAGGCCAGATTGAGTCTCAGATTAAGCCGAAAAGAAGAGGATGAGGAAAATATCAATATGGACTTTAAAAGCGTTTTTCGTGAAACTATTTTTTTTAACTGGCCGGAGATATATATACATATATAAAGTTTTCAGTTTTTAACGAATCGACTTAAAATTTTGTAGTTTGTTATTTCACAATATAATCCGGTCAAAAGAGTCATTTCAATTTACAATAATTCACATACAGCTAAATATTGGCATAGGTTTTTGGTATACTATTATAAGCAAAATGTCAAAAGTCCCCGGCGATCCCATGCGTTAAAAATGCATTCAAGATCAAATGTCGCAAATATCGGTAATTTGCATTTTTCTCGTAAACGGTAAGTGTTATCATAGAAATAGATCTGACAAAAGTTGTAAATCATGCAATTGTCTACAAAAATTGTCTCAATACTTTTTTTCCTATGGATCATCATTCCTGAGATATCACCATTTCAAACGTCGAAAATACTACTTAGCACGCTTGGGATCGGTGGGGACTTTTAACATTTTACTTATAATAGTGTACCCAAGACCTATACCAATATTTAGCTCTATGTGAATTATTGTAAACTTACTACAGTGCAACCTCTTTAATCTGAACACAAGTTAATACGGTCACATGCTAATCCGAACGGCTAAATCTGAACGATGAGAAGAAAAGACTAGATTGCTTCACGCGTATGCTCGTAGTAGGCAGTCGTTCGCGCCTGTCCGCCCAATGTCAGTTTGTTTGCCGATAGCGAAGAACCTGTTGCGTGTCGTGTTTTATGTAATAATTTTGGAGATTTTTTGGAAGTAAGAAAAATTAAAAATGTGAAAAGCGTAAAATAATACTTATATGTATATGCAACTACATGTTTATGTTTTACCTTATATAAGTTTTGTGTCTTATATGATTTATGTTTACATTGTTATAATAAAATGTGTATGTACTTACATAATATACAGTGTAGGAAAGTACCGATGGTCTATCAGAAGTTAGGTGAGAGCGATAAAGTAAGCCATAGAAATCCATGTAATAGACAAGGATGGCTATAATTAAGGCGTCTAATTGTCAACGCCCATTTCGCCCTTCCACAAATAAGAAGTGGATCTTATTTGTGGAAGGGCGAAACGGGCGGTGACTATGAGAGGCCTTCATTATAGCCATCCTTCTCTATCGCATGGATTTCTATGGCTTACTTTATCGCTCTCACGTAACTTCAGATAGACCATCGGTACTTTTCTACCCTGTACATATGTACAAATCTTTATAGTATGTTCAATAATCCGAACGATTCGATAATACAAACAATGCCTGGCAATGTGGTGTTCGGATTACAGTGGTTCCACTGTACTATTTTTTGGTCTATTTTGGCCGGATTAACAACATAACTCAGAAACATTGTAGAGGTTTTTGATTGATTAACAATTTTCATTGTTATCAACAATTTACTGCAAAAATTTTCATTTTTTCAATATTTTTTTTTTAATGTTCACTAAATCAGCAATTACTAATATTTTTTAATTTCCCTACGATGGTCCTTAGTGTATAAATCAGAAAAAATTTTGTTTTTTTGTGGCAAGACCATTTGTTAATAAGAAACCCTTCCGGCCATACAGTCTTCTGAAAAATAGGTGTCGGTTTCCATCACCTACACCCGCCATTTTAAGTGTGACAAAAAGATATTATTCGTCACAGTACAATAATGTCATATATACAGGGCGATTCAAAATTCATTACAATAAAGAGTTTAGGGGAATATTTTTGAGGTCAAAATAAGTCTTATAAATGTGGGTTCACAAATGCTTAGTTTTCGATATATGTTAGTTTTTTATTTTTTTTTTATTTTTTAGGAATAATTTGTAAACAAATTTAAATGCTGTCATAAAACTTCGGGCACAGGAGTTTTTTAGGATGCTAAATTTAAATATGTAATTGGTTTTGACACTGCTTGTAGAGGGCGCCACCTATAAGGGTACCCTTGAATTAAATTGGCTCAAATTTTTTTGCTACCTTGTACATTGACGACTGATGTCTTATAGTGTTTACTATGAAATAATATCATTTAATATCACAAATAATTATTGCCAAACAAAATTTTTTAATTTATAAAACTCCTGTTATTATTATTATTTAAAACTTTTACTTGTGTATCCACCCGATGGACTGGCAAATCTAAATTGATTTACGCAAGATGTTTGTTGAATGAGTGTGGTGTGATAGCTGTAGTTGAAATAATAAATGGAATGACGTGCATTCATTTTTTTTTTCCTAAATTCTTTCTATTTCTATTGCCAGTTGATATTTTCATTTTTTTCTGAAATTTTTTATAACGATATTTTGATCAGCTATACTGGGTGATTCAGTTTGATATTCGCGGTCTCGTATCTCTTTTATTTTAACAAATAGCTATAACAAACCCTATATATTTTTAAATCGCCGCTCAAACTCTATCAAATGATATTATTAGATCGTCTCCATGGTAACATATGTCAAAATTGTGATTTAGATATGTCAAAATTCAGTTGTTTCCGCAGTTGGCTATCATTTTTCAGCTATAGACTTCCTTACATAGCTGAACGTAGAAAAAAATATCTTCCCGAATTGATAAAAAAATATATAGTGTGTCATTTGCACAAAAACAGTTAACTATAGCAATTTTGACATATGTTACCATGGAGACAATCTAATGTCATTTGATAGAGTTTGAGCAGTGATTTAAAAATGTATAAGGTTTGTTATAGCTATTTGTTAAAATAAAAGAGATACAGGGCCGCGAATACCAAACTGAATCACCTGGTATACAGGGTGGTCCGAATTTTATGCAGGAAACTTCAGAAGCAGATAGATCTCTTTACAATAGGTGTTGGCCTTATAAACATAGGTCTGGAACTGCCTCGTTTTGGAGATACAGTTTGTTGGTTGTAAAAAAAAATGATTTTTTTGTTTTTATCTCCGGAATCTATCAACCGATCTCAATAAAATTTGGTACAGATAATGTACGATAGTAGGCCTTGCCTAAAATATGAGCTCTAAAGGTTCAACCAGGGGTGTACAACTGGACAGGGGTGACCCCTTTTTGATTAAAAAACTTACGCCACTGCATTTTTTACATGTTATTGTAACGGATTTATATTCTAATGTACAAAATACGTAAAAATTTTCCCCTAAGATTCGCCGTTTTCAAGTTATTCATGCCAATACAATCCCCTTGTTCCAGACACTTTATATACTTACATTTGTTATATTAACACAATCACAATGAAGAAAATAAAAACCATAGTCATGACTGGGACTGACAGAATGACTGAAATCTATAAAGTGACACTGCCCGTCATGCCAGAGAATATTATGTTCCGACATATCACCATGAATCAAGTTTGCTTTCTGATACAGTATCTTCATTGCATTCTTTACCTACGAGTTGAAATATATTAAAAATTTATCAAAAGTGAAAGGTTTGCACGAATTTGCAAAAAATGTTCAATGCATAGTGAAAACTACCTGTTCATAAGCCTTGACGAAATCAGGATAGTACAATGCAGCATATTTCAGTTTAAAAGCAGGTTTTTTATCTGTCCCAATGTAAGACATAACGAGAATATGCCTTTTTAATTTTATAACTTCCGGGCAAGAAATTCCTACTTGCCTTACGCGTACCAGATTGTCCATTGATTTTTGTGCCCACCACTGGACTGTTTTAGCTTCATTTACTAACCCTTCTTTATATAGATAACATAGACCCTGTTGGCATTTAGAAACTCTTTTGAAAACTTTGATCGCACATCTTTTGGGCCAGTTCTTTGTGGCATGCTGATAAGATGGGTCCAAGGTACCGAGAAGTATTACACCTTCTGTACCTGCAAGAAAATAAATAATTTCAAAAAAACAGTGTAATATTTAGTAGTAGCAAATTCACTCCTTAGATGCTGAATGTATTTACGATTTTCAGTCAAAGGGATTTTTATTTTAATACAACCACTAATAGGAAAACCAACTCATATTAACAGATATCAAAATTTTAATTCGAGGCACCATATTGATATAAAGGAAGAAACAATCTTAAGTAAAATGTGGAAAACTAAAGTCTTTCCGTAGTAGCTGTTTTTAAATTTTGGTCTTTGTCAAAGGTGATTTTAGAATAGAAATACAAGTATTTCAAGTATTTCAAGTCAGGTATGTGTTTTTGTATAATTATGTTTAGACATATCAATTTGAACTTTTCTTTGATAATTACACAGCCCCACAAAAAAAGTGGGAAGTCCGAAAGACAAGTATATGTTTTTGGGGTCACTGAATCTGGGGTCCATTTAGCCTGATCAGGTCTGCCAAATATACTCTCAAGTTCTAATCTCAAAACACTCAAGTTAAGCATTTACGCATATTAAAATTTGAGTAACAAATAAGATTAAAGGAAGAAAGCTTTAAGTCTGAGCCAGTGATTCTCAAGTTAATTGTTTTAACATGACAAAATTCTAGTATCAATAAGCCTAATTAATGTGTCCATTAATGCTACGTGTACATTTATTTCCACAGTGAGTCGGTGTTAATTGAGATTTTTGAGAACAGTTTTCTGCCTTGATGAATCACATGAAATCACTATATCTCAATACTATTATATCGAGACTATTCACTTTTGTGGTATCAAACTGTTTTGTTGCCAAAACATCTGTGAAGTGGATTTCATTTATATTTGGAGGAAATGGAGTGTCGGGACCAAGGCAGATGGGATATAAACATGTTAGTCGATTACTGCTGGTCGTTAAAACAAGATTTACCATTGAAATCGAGAAAACATAAAATAAAACCACTTCACAGATCTTTTGACAACAAAATAGTTCGATAGCACAAAAGTGAATAGTAGTTTCGATATCATAATAGTGAGATATAGGGATTTCATGTGATCCATCATAGCAAAAAGCCTCCTATCTTGAAAAAGTGTTCCCAAAAGTCTCAATCGACACAGACTTACAGTGTAAATTAATGTACATAAACCATTAACATACACATTATTTTAAAGCTTACTTAATTAGGCTTATTGATACTAAAATTTTGTCATGTCAAAACAATTAACTCGAGAGTCAGTGACTCAGAGTTAAAGCTTTCTTTCTTTAATACTATTTGATACTCAAATTTTAATAATCATAAATGCTTGAGTATTTTGAGTTTAGAACTTGAAAGTATTTAGCAGATTTGATGGGGTGAACCGGACCTCGGATCGGATTCAGTAACCCCACAAACGCATTGATATTTAGGTTTACTTTGTTGGCAATTGATTCTCTACATTTGATCTTCAACAAACCTTAATCCAGACCTGATCTGGGTCTTCTGCCTTTAAACTTTTGGTCAGGGGCAAACAAAAAACATTTCATTAACGTTTGGTTTTGTTTCTGGGCAAGGTTGCATTTGGCATTTGTATGTGAACATTGTAAATATGGACTAAGCTTAAGAAATGAGACTGATTTAAAACCGGGATTTTAACATTTGAACTGATAAAGCAAAACAGAATACTAACTAAAAAATTAAATGTTGGCAACGACCTTCACTAATGCAATATGAGCTTTATAAATGAGAGATTTTAACAATTGTTAAATTAAAATCACATATTTTAAAGAGCAGTAGCAAACTTGTTTTCAAAAATCTTTATCAGAAAACTAATTTGACTGTTAGACAATATGCAGAAATATACAAATATTACTTTAACGCTCAAGAGAAATTGGAAAATTCATAAAGAGTGAGTACGCCAGTATCACACATTCAAAGTTACAATATCTTGTAAATCAAGCCTATAAATAAATATTTTACAATGAAAAAATAGAAAAAACACTTGATCCTAAAATTAGTATATTTGAATAAACATGGACATGTATAGACATGCACAAAAAAGTAAGAAAGAATAATGTACAACAGTTTTACAATCCTGTTTTCCTTCATTTGCACTATGATTTTTTTTATCAAAATTCGAAAATTAAAAATTACCCATACCATACAGGGTGACCCACCATACCAGGAACTGCTTCGATTGATATCTAGGAAGGTACTGCTCCGAAAAATTGTAAAATTTGGCAACATGGCAATGTCCCTGGAGCGAACACAGCTCGGAACACAGCTAAAATATCCAGAACTCTCCAGCACTTCCGGTTATTACGGAAGTCGACACCAACTTCGTTATTTTAAATGGAACAGCCTATATATTATTGCATTTTCGTATTCCACGTGAAATTTGAGGGTCACTTTATTAAATATTCCCTATATCTAGGAGTTATAGATTTTGAGATAATAATTTTTAAAGAAAAATTTGACAGATGCAAGGGTCCGCGGAGATGCTAGTAACTCTTTTCAGGAGCGTGATGTCAAGGGGATTTTTGATACTTGTAAAGGGCATAGGTAACATTACATTATGGTATACCAACAAATTAAAATATTTAATACTAGGTGTTTCATTTTTGCTGTTACATTTTGATAACTTCAAACAGCTGTAACTTTGTTAACTTAAATGGAACGCCCTATATTTTTTGACTCTGTCATATACAGATTGAAATTTCCTTTCAAGCCATATAATCATTGTTAGGGTTGCCATTACTACTTTTAGAGATATATGCAATTTTCTATTTTTTGGACACTTTTTCTTGTAACAGACCTGTTGTCAAATTGGCCATGACCAGAAACACTCCAAAAACAATTGAAATAACATAACATTTGTCAAGTTAGTTGTCAAATTATCATTGTCTGAATAGTTTTTGCCGAAAATTGAAATAAAAATGCCTGGGGATCCCTTAAATTATAGTAATGAGGATTATTTTAATTCGTTATTTATGGAAAATGTGACAAAGTAATTTTAAAAACATGTAGAGAATCTGCTGCTTGTTTCCATAAATAACAAACAAATTAAAATAATCTTCATAAGTATAATTTAAACGATCCCCAGGCATGTTTATTTAAATTTTCAGAAAAAACTATTACATACATAACAATAATTTGACAACTAACTTGACAAATGTCAAGTTATTTTAATTGTTTTGAAGTGTCATGTCTGGTCATGGCCAAGTTGACAACAGGTCTGATACAAGATCGAAAGTGTTCAAAAAATAGAAAATTGCAAATATATCTAAAAGTAGTAACGGCAACCCTAACAATGCTTATATGGTTTGAAAGGAAATTTCAATCTGCATACGACAAAGTAAAAAAATACAGGGTGTTCCATTTAAGTTAACAAAGTTATAGCTGTTTGACGTTATCAATATGTAACAGAAAAAATGAAATACCTAGTATTAAATGTTTTAATTTGTTGGTATACCATAATTAAGTGTTACCTATGCCCTCTACAGGTACCAAAAATTCGCTTGATATCACGCTCCTGAAAAGAGTTACTAGCATCTCCTAAACCCCTGCATCTGTAAATTTTTTTCTTTAAACATTAATATCTCAAAATCTATAACTGCTAGGAATGGGGAATATTTAATAAGCGACCTTCAAATTTCACGTAGAACGCGAAAATGCAATAATATACAGGGTGGGCCACCAGTAACATCTCGATCGCTAGTGACCAAACGGCAAATGTTATAGAAACCTGTTTAGGTGGGTATGTGTAGGTTGATTACGGCTACATTTTAAAAATATTTTGAAATATACAAGGTGTCCAGGAAAAGTGTACCATATCAAAGTTATGTTTTTCTAAATGGAACACCCTGCATTTTACTGCATTTTTGAAAGCACCGTAAAAAAATAGGTGAATTTTATTAGAGGTTCTGCATACCTAGGACTTTTTTAGATCCTTGAATTTATAAATTGTTATATTTGTCGTCACTTAGTATTATACAGGGTGTTCAAAAAACTGCTGAATACTTCTCTCAACTTTAAACAGCAATAACTTGGTTATTTTAAATGGAACACCCAGTATATTTTTACTTTGGGAGTTGGGAAATTTAAAACTCTTTCAAACTGTGTATAGGTTCCCTATACCTATCTCTAACGGTATTGGAGATATTTGTGCCGTTTCGTTTTTTATCGATTTTTTTTGTAAGATGTATCCACGTGTCTTTATCGAGGTCTTTACTGAATTGGTTTGGGTTCTTCTTGATGACGTCTCTTTAAATATAAGGAGAAAAATGTGAATGCAAATAGATGGCGCACCTGCACATTTTTCATATTCAGTGAGAAATTATATAAATCGATAATTAAGTAATAAATGAGTAGGTAAGAATGGTCCATGTCAGTGGCTACCACAGGTGTCCAAACCTCTCGTAATGGACTTCTTTGTTTCGGGCTGTATAAAAATATATCTTGTACACAGTGTTCCACCTACTACTTGCGATGATATGAAGGAAAGGATTAGATATGCATTTGCCACAATCACCCCAAATATTCTAAGGAATGTGAGAATATCATTTGAAGATAGAATAAGATGCTGTATTCAAGAGAATGGTTATCAATTCGAACATCTATTAAAATTTTTCTTTGTTTCTTCTAAAAGTAAAATTTTCTTTAATAAATATTTTTCACGTTCATAAATAATTCAGTTACTTACTACAAACATATTTATACAAAATTAATAACTTTTTATAATTATTCTGCTTATAAAATAATATTTTTTATTAGAAAACTTTTTTGAATATTGTCATGATAATGATAAAAGGAAATTTTACTTTTAGAAGAAACAAAGAAAAATTTTAATAGATGTTCGAATTGATAACCACTCTCTTGAATACAATATCTTATTCTATCTTCATAATATGATATTCTCACATTCTTTAGAATATTTGGGGTGATTGTGGCAAATGTATCTCTAATCCTTCTAATATTTATATAATTTCTCACTGAATATGAAAAATGTGCAGGCGCGACATCTAATTACATTCACATTTTTCTCCTTATATTTAAGGAGACGTCATCAAGAAGAACACAAACCAATTCAGTAAAGACTTCGATAAAGACTCGTGGATACATCTTACAAAAAAAATCGATAAAAAACGAAACGGCACAAATATCTCCAACACCGTTAGAGATAGGTATAGGGAAACTATACACAGTTTGAAAGAATTTTAAATTTCCCAACACCCAAAGTAAAAATATACTGGGTGTTCCATTTAAAATAACCAAGTTATTGCTGTTTAAAGTTGAGAGAAGTATTCAGCAGTTTTTTGAACACCCTGTATAATACTAAGTGACGACAAATATAACAATTTATAACTTCAAGGATCTAAAATAGACCCTCCAAAGCTGCTTCCTTAAAATTATTTTTTTATTGCTAATATTAAATTTCTACGCTATGC